AGACTGCATATACCCTCAGGCCAATTATGACAGTACCCCTTGGGGGACTTAAGTATCAGGGTGTTTTTTTTTTAATGTTTATTTATTTTTGACAAAGAGAGAGAAAGAGACAGAGACAGAGCATGAGTGGGGGAGGGGCAGAGAGAGGGAGACAGAATTCGAAGCAGGTTCCAGGTTCCGAGCTGTCAGCACAGACAGCGGGGTTCGAACTCACGGACCGCGAGATCATGACCTGAGCCGAAGTCGGACGCTTCACCGATTGAGCCACCCAGGCGTCCCAGGCATCAGGGTTTTTTGGAAGCTCCGTGGGTGTTTGCAATGTGCATCTGAAGTGTGGGCCAGCTCTGTACGCAGAGAGAAGCTAGCAAGTCAGTAAGAGGACTGGAGCGTGTGGCCGTGAAACAAAAGTGCCTCCCTTCCCAGAAGGAATGAGGACCAGGAGTCCAGTGAGGGGTGGCATGAGCTGATGAACAGGCCCTGCTGTAGAAGGAGTGTGGGGAGGAAACCCCTCTACTCAGGAGACCCCAGGGGAAACAGCGGCCTCAGGGGACAGAGCGAGGCTGGTCATGTTTCAGGTGGGGAAGAGAAAGGAATGTTCCAAGCTGAGCTTCAGGCAACAGGAGATCCCACGGAGTCTGAGAGGGCCCTGTTTGGGTTTGCGGGGGGGCGTGTAGTACGGAGGGGGTGGCAACCAGTCAATTGAGGTGTGTCAAAGGGCATGTGGTACGTAACACCTCAGGCGCGAGGGGGACCTAGGAAGCCTGGGCTCCCTGCAGTGAAGGACTTGATGAGTCGGGCGTCCCAAGGCAGACAAAATTGCTTCCCCCAAGTTCTTGTCACCTCTCCCCAGAAACAATCTCTCTGAATGGATGACTGACGCCTCAGGGGCAGGTGCAGTGGCCTGTGGCTGCCCTTTCATCTGTGGCACCGCAAACGTGCCTGCATCCAGCAGGAACTCGCAGACACAAACCCACCGCAAACACCCCAGACCACCCAGCAGAGCAAGTGTCAAGGGCGGAGCCCCTCCACACTGTGGGCACCTACAAGATGAGCGTCTACCACCCACCCAGCCCCAGCTCTCTCCCCGGGACTGAGCCTCCTCGAGCATCAGCCTCTTGAAGGGGTTCACGCTGTTGATAAATGCAGTAGTCGCTCGAGTTTGCATTCTCTGGGCTTCCTGGCGGCAAGGGAGCCTGCAGGTGGGCCGGGCACGTAAAAACGCGCAGTGGGATGACCCGGGCCCAAACGAGAAAACGGACCGTCCCTGAACAAGACCAACGCGCCTACCTTCCGATGCCCAAAATATGTTGACGGGTTTGGAGAAGACGTCCTTGCTCTTGACCCAGCTGTCGTTACGCTGTTTGGTCCATGCGGACACAGCACAGTAATAACTGCCTCGGTCTTCCTCTGTGGTCCTTTGGATTCGGAAACTGAACGTGTCCGTACGCTCCTTAGAAAAAATAAAGTCTCCGTCCTGGGCCCGCTGCTTGCTCCGGTCTCCGTACTTCAGCGTCCAGTCCCCGTTCATGACTGCAAGCAGCTCGCTGGCCACCAGGTCATCGCTGCGCCGGTTCACCCTGTAGTACCAGGACACCGTGAAACGGACGCTGGCCTGCAAGCTCTTCATGTCCACTATGCGGCACTCCAGCTCCGTGAGGTCGTCTGAAAACTCGGGGACCTTAGAAGCATTCAGGTACACCTGATAGTCTGGTTCTGAACGAGAGGGAGAGAGGTAGGGGGAAGGGGCAGGATAAATAAAACCAGACAACAACATACTAAGAATTAGCAAAAAGAATGAGACAAGCGCTACTCCCGTCCTGACCGTCAAATGCCCATCCTACTGACCACAGTGAAGGGAATCAAAGTCTTTGCGCTGGAGAGGAAGGATCTAGAGTCAGTTCCTGCAAAACTTGCACAACGCTGCCACCTGGGAAACCTCCCAAGGCCAGAAGCCAAATAAATGCCTGTAATCAGAGTCCTGACCTTTCCATAGGCTCGGGGGCTGTGTCAGTTACGCCAGCAGGTCGGTCTTCCGCGAGGGAGCCGAGAGGCTCAGTGCTCATGCTCTACCGAGGTTTTGCCTGGTAAAGCCAGCCTGCCAGGCTGTGCCGACAGAGCTCCAAAGCCCCCGCTGGAGCAGCATGGGAAAACCCCATCCCAGAGTGCATTCCAGTACTCGAGGCCGATCCCCACCCTGGCCTGGTTCCTGCCACCCTTAGCCAGGCTCCAAAGGCAAGGCCCTCAGGTCACCATTCGTCCTGCAGATTCTCATCCTCACTTTCCTGGTCCTCTGACTTTTTTCCGCTCAGTGTGTTCAGTAGTCAGTACAGCCTCCCCACACGACACTGTCTTCGCTGCCCCACGTGACTCTCCCACATAGTTCCCGCACACGGGAGAGCAGAGCGGGCTCTCTTGGGACCACGCCACTTCCCTGCCAGGTGCACGTTCTGCCGGGGGTGGGAGGGAAGCCAGCGCCCTCCTGGCGTCCCCTGACTGCCGTCACAGCCGTCTCACTTTTATTCTTCCCTCGTGTGAAAACCCTCCTTCCTCGGAGGTTCGCTGCACCCATCTCATCCATTTTTACCATTCCACGTTTCTGTCTCTGCTGTCCCCAAGGCCTTCCTCCACACTTGCCAAGGAACTGGCATTAGAACCTCTCTGTGGCCTTCCACCCCCTCCTCGGGTCATTCTCAACGATCTGAGGTTCTCCAGCCCCCACACCGTGTCACACCACTGTGGTCACCTGCTGGCAGTGGCCGTCTCCTCCTGACCGCCCTGCAAACTTCCACTCATCCTTCACTGTACCTTTACTGTACCCTCCTCTGTGTCCGCCTTTGGGGTCCCCAGAGTGTGGCGCGCTTTCTCCCTGCTCCCATAAGCCGTGGAGGTACGCTCGTACAGCAGCGTCCCTGTTATTACCGTTGAAGATCTCCTCCCCGAGTGCCAGATACACAGCCTTGTATGCAGCGGGCACTCAATCAATGTGTGCTGCCTGGCTTTTACAGAAAGTCACATTCTTCTCTTGTGGCATATGGTCTGCCAGGAGAAAACTAATTCTCCCTAAAGGGAACTTTCCATCTGCTACGGCGATCTTTATTCCCATCGCCCCAAACAGTTTAGTTTTATTTAACGTTGCTTTTATTGATGACTCATTCAGATTATAAACTGCTGAGGTCAAGGAACTGTTCTGTGATTTACACCTCTAATAAAATGTGTAACATCATGACTTCTCCAAGAATGATTCAGTGGCCAGGAAATGGAAAGAACGCAAAATCCTAACGCCTTCAAATGGCATCTTCACAAGCATTTCATTGCAAGTGAGGGTAGGCCCTGTGGCATATATAGTTAAACCGAGGGGACCTGGCCCACCAACGGGAGCACGCCGTGCCGCGGGGTGGAGGTTACGGAAACAGCATGGGCTGCCAGCACGCCACGCTGCCTCCTCATCGGACAGGTGAATGTGCTAGAGTCGCACAGATGGGGGGTGTCCTGCCTCCTGGGCACAGGACCGGCACCCCACGCTGCCTCGGCAACGACACCGCCTGTGGAATAAATACCACCCAAATGCCTTTACACTGTCCCGTGCCTAAGACCTTCCCAGATTACCCTACATCCCAGGCTTCAGACCCTTTCCTCCTGGCAGACTTTGCCAGAGCTACCTGAGCGCAGACAGGACAACCAGGTTCCTCTCGCGCGGGAAGGACAGCAGTGGACTGGCCGGGCGCATGGCAAGATTGCACTGCTCTGTCAGGACTGACCTGGAGAGACACACCAAGAGTGCTCGTGACACGGCAGGAGAAGCCACTGCCATGCACGGATCCCACCCCCATTACGAGCAGAACACGAACACCCTTCAAGTAGTTCCATGTTAACCAGAACAACAAACTGAGGCAGTAAAGGGCAGTGGTGAAGAGCCAGGGACCCAGAGGCAGACCGTTCGAATCCTGGCTTGGCCATCTACTTGCTGTGCACTTGGGCAGACTACTTAACCTCTCTGGTGCCTCACCTATAAAAATAGAGATAGTAGCAGTTACTGGCTCGCAATGCTGCTTGTGAGGACTAAGAGTTAAACTACACAGGGTGCATGCGGCTGGCTCTGTCGGTAGACTGTGTGACTCTTGATCTCAGGGTTGTAAGTTCGAGCCCCACGTTGGGTATAGAGATCACTTAAAAGTAAAATGTTTTTTAAAAAAGGAGTTAAAATATACATAAAAGTGCTTTACACTGGTGCCTGGTACGTGTGTGTGTGCCTATGCACACACACATATACGTATATATACGGACACACGTGCATATTGGCAAACTACCATTCACCATTCCCAGCTCATATCTGAGGAAGCAGAGCTTTAAAGATGTCAGTCACGTGCCCATACAGCTCCAAAGTGGGATCTGAACCCAGGGCCATATCCTTTCTAACGCCTTTCAAGGACAGCCTCGCTTCCCGGATGAACCACGTTCCGTCTTCGAAACTATTTTCTCACTCCCACTGACTGGCACAATGACCTGTAGCATCACGGGATGTCGTGCCTGGCAACGACACTGGTATGGCACCATCACCAGGAATCTCACCCACAGAGGCAGCTCCCCTCCACGTGCCGTCACCTAAGCCTAGATGACCAGCACCATCCAAATGGCCGAGAAGCAAGCTGTCGGATTTTTCTTCTGTTTCCTTAGCAGTCACCAGCTCTTAAAAATAAGCCCTTCAGGGGGCACCTGGGGGGCTCAGTCGGTTAAGCGTCCGACTTCGGCTCAGGTCATGATCTCACGGTTCGTGGGTTCGAGCCCCGCGTCGGGCTCTGTGCTGACAGCTCGGAGCCTGGAGCCTGCTTCGGATTCTGTGTCTCCCTCTTTCTCTCTGCCCTTCCCATTCACGCTCTGTCTCTTTCTCTCAAAAATAAACAAACTTAAAAAAAATTTTTTTTTAATTTTTTCAAATTAATGTTTTTAATGTTTGTTTATTTTTGAGAGAGAGACAGAGCATGAGTGGGGGAGAAGCAGAGAGAAAGGCAGACGCAGAATCCAAAGCAGGCTCCAGGCTCCGAGCTGTCAGCACAGAGCCTGATGCAGGGGTTTGAACCCACGAACCGTGAGATCATGACCTGAGTTGAAGTCGGACGCCTAACTGACTGAGCACCCAGGCACCCCCCCCACAAATATTTTTTTAAATAAGCCCTTCAGTCCTTGCTGGTTTACTTTCTTCCCCTGAGCATATTCCTCCAGAGGCATGCTGAAAATAAAGCTATTAGAATTACCATGAAAGACGGATGGTAGAGAAGCAGTGACATCTGTGGTCAGACCACGAGGCCCCCCCCAACAGCTCATTCCCTGGATACTGGAACCCAGCTGCTCCTCTGGGTTCCTCCTTAGGCTCAGACCCGAACACCAGCACAGAGCTGGCTTCTAGGCATCTCAGGTGGGTGTGTCCGTGCCATGGCCAGCGTACCACATTTGTACCATCACCTCGCTCCCCACCTGCCTCTGCCAATGTACACGCGCACAAACACGCATGCAAATATATAATACACACATGCATGCAGGCACACACATGCACAAGCACATTCATACATGCACGCACACACATACGCACATTCATATATGCACACATGCTCACATATACAAGCACATTCATATGCTCACACAAAGCACACATTCATACATTACACACACACATACACATTCATACGCATACGTACACACACTCATACATGCACGGACACACGCAAACACGCATTCATACACATACACACTCGTACACACACATGCACACGTACATAAGCACACATTCACACACACTTGTACACACGCATGCACACGTATGTAAGCACACATTCATACACATACTCGTACACACACATGCACACATACGTAAGCACACATTCATACACACGCACACTCCTACACACACACACGCACACACATACATAAGCACACGTTCATACACATACACACTTGTACACACACGCATGCATACACACACATAAGCACACATTCATACACACACTCGTACATACACGCATGCACACACATACATAAGCACACGTTCATACACATGCACACTCATACACACACGCACGCACACACATACGCAAGCACACGTTCACAAACGCATGCACACCCATACGTAAGCACACACTCATACACACTCGCACATACACGCGCGTGCACACACAGCTGACTCCCGTTCCAGACTCGGCCAGCTCCTCCTCCTAACTTCCCAATTACTGTTCCTGCTGCCACACCCACCATTCACTCTCCAGGTCACCTCTGCTCAAGGCGTGTGCCGTGTCCGACTCTCCACTCCGAGGGGCCCTAAGCCTCACACTGCTCCCATTCCAGGACCTGCACACAGTAGGTGCTCTGTAAGTATCTGTGAACAAAAGTGGGAGCCTCATGAACACCGCCCTCATCCCGGCCCTCTCTGCCTCTGGCCGAGACTATTATAAGTAATCAACCCGCCTCCAGGCGGACACAGGTATCAGGTCATCTGTACCGTAAACTTCCCATGGCTTTCCTTCTCACCTCCAGGGTGATGGGCACACTCCCCAGCCTGGCACACGAGGCTCTCGTGAGTGTGAGTCTACCCCATTTATCTGGCCTCACCGCCTGCTGCCTTCTTATATCTATTCTACATTCCCCTGGGGTGACACCTCTCCTCATTCCCTGACCTCCTCCCACGCTTCCAGGCTTTCTACCTCCCTTCCTGCCGCTCCCTCTACCTCGGCACCTGCGACACCTGCCCGGTGGCTGTTGAAGAGATGACTGAACAGACTCCCCCGTTCCACTCCACACCCCACCCCCAAGTGAGTCAGTTTAAACCCGATGAATCCAAACACAGAGAAGGCAGAGCACAGCGGGGCTGCAGCATGTGCACGTCTAGTTCAGCAGGACAGGAGATTCCCGTTGACTGGCTGGTCTCCTTCTCTGTTAAGACTAAATCTTAGGCCCCCCTACTGCAAAGACGAACAAAAACAAGTGGGTGCTCGGCTTGTGAACTTACAAGGCACAGGTTCCAGTGATTTAAAGGATGTTCAAAGGCCATGTGAACTACCCACCAGCCTTTCAGGCCGACTTTGGACTTGGACTCCTGGAGGAGGCATACACGGCCCCTCTATGTCAGAACAGCGGGAGTACAGGTGGGTTCTTCTTTCAGTTTTGTTTTGGCACACGGGTAGAAATTTTCCCTTTTTGTTGTTTTGCGATTTTAAACCTTGTTTGTGGAGAACTGTGCCCGTTCCTCGAACTCCATCATGCACATTCGTCTTCTGTATAGCCTTCTCTACTGACCAGAGAACGCCTACTTGGAATTCACCTGTCATATCTCTGCTTCTTGTTCAACAAACCTTCACAGAGACCCAACACCCACCAGCCTCCCTGCTCTCCAAGCCTTTTATCTGAACACTGCCTTGAACTTTGATTATTATTATAGGTATGTCTTATGGACCTCTGTACGTCGCTTCCCAGGGCCAGAGACCAGCTACCTAATTCCTCCTTCTGTGCCAGGCATGTAGTGCCTTGTACGTAAATGATATTAAACCGTTTGCCGAATTGGAATAAATTTAATATTTTGCATAAAAATGCTTGTTTGTGGCATAAGCATTTCACTACTGATTTATCCTGCTTGATCTCATCAAGAAATCAGCTAAGAATGCAATGGTGGTTATGTTTAAAAACCTGCTTATCAGTTAAGGATGCACACAAAAGTACTTAATGGCAAAATGACATGATGTCTGGGATATGCTTTAAATTCTACCAGAAAAAGTGTGTGTGTCTGTCTGTCTGCGGGAGGGAAGAGAGACAAAATACAATTAGCAAACTACTGGCAATTACTGAAGCTGATGGCTCTTTCTGCTTCTGCGTGAGTTTTTTTTTACATTTATATTCCAAAAAGTTTTAAAAAATTAACAAACAACTCACCCACACTGTAAGCCCTTTCACAGAGTACAGAGACCAGACTAAGCATGACATCATCACTACTATTCTTAGAAACAAGGGTCTGCTCCCTAATCTGGCTCCACGAGGCTCTCTGCTCATATACACACCCCCACCCCCCCCACCAAAGCTACAGTCTCTAATAGACTCCCCACCCCCTGCCCAAAGAAAGACTTGTTTTTTTCAATATATGTCATTGAACTCCCTTGTTACAACTTTCAAACACAACGAGAAGCTGTCACAAGCCTTGGCTCATTTGTTAAAGCAGGTAATTTGTGCCTACTGTGTGTAGGGCCTGCACTGGGCGTTTTCACACAGATTGCCTCCTTTCCTCGAACAGGAATTACACACATACATAAGCACAAGGCATCATAGCGGCCGGCATTTATTGAGGACTTTCCATACACCACACACCGTGCCATATACATTTCCGCGCATTCTTGCTTAATCTTAACAACCTTTGAATATAGGTGCCTGGCTTCATGTGCTTCCTAACAGAAAAAAAAAAAAAAAAAAGCAAAACAAAACCCAGAGCCCAGAGGTGTGAAGTTGGAAGCCTCAGGTCTTGCACCGCGCATGTGAGCAGGATCCTGGCCTGGCTCCCCCACCAGGACCGAAGTGCACAGCCTCCTTACATACCCGGTTGTGAACACTTTCTCAAAACCCACCAACATCCCAGAAGACGAGAGTGGTAATCACAGCCGAGGCACTAATCCCAAACTGTGTGCGACAGGGCCCAGCTCTAATACCCGCTCTGCAGCCTTGTTAACTTGGGAGAGCTAATCAGATGGGCAGGCTGCACGCACGAGTTAGAGGGAACGGGAGAGGG